AGTTTTGTAAATGCATTATATGGAATCAAGATAACAGATGATTTTAGATATATAATTATAAATGAAGATAATTTAGAACAGAGTGGAGATAAATCTAAAAGTCAAACAAGTGAAGTAACAATTTATAATATTAAAAGAACAAAAAGAACACCACCAATAAAAATAATAGATACACCTGGATTTGGGGATACAAGAGGAATTGAATATGATAAAGAAATTACTAAACAAATCAAAAAAGCATTTGAAACAAAAGTATTAGATTTAAATGCTATTTGTTTTGTTGCACAATCAAGTAATCCAAGATTAACAGAAAATCAAAAATATATATTTAATAATATTATTGATTTATTTGGTAATGATATGAAAAAGAATTTTATTGCAATGCTTACATTCTGTGATGCTGAAGACCCACAAGTTATTAATGCATTACAATCAAAAGATTGTATTTTCAGTACAATTATTCCAGAAATAGATAAACCATGGTATTTAAAATTTAATAATTCAGCTATTTATGCTGATAATACTGAAGATTTATTTACACAAATGTTTTGGCAGTTAGGTATGAAGAACTTTGATGACTTTATTAAAAAATTAACAAAATTACCAAGAATATCATTAGAAACATCCAAAGAAGTTTTAAAGAGAAGAGAACAAATCAAAACTCAAATTGAAGGACTGAGCATATCAATAAATAATGGAATATCAAAAATGAGTGAAATAGAACAAACATATGAACAGTTCTATTTGAATCGTGATAAGGTTAATAATAATCAAGATTTTACTTTTACTGTAAATGTAACAAAACAAGTTAAGTTTGAATTAGAAGTAGGAGAATATGTAACTAATTGTTTGAGATGTAATGGAACATGTCATTATCCATGTTATATTAAAGGAGATGTAAAAGATGGATGTTATTGTATTGGTGATAATGGATATTGTAATGTATGTGGTTGTTATTATACACAACATACAGGCTCAAGATACAGATTTGATTATATAACAGAAACAAAACAACAAACAGCACAAGAAGTACTTGAAAGATATAATGAAGGTAAAAAAGGAATGGCTAGTGCAGAAAATCTGTTAAACAAGTTGGAAGATGAATATTATGAAATTTTAATGGACTGTTATGATAAACAACTAGAAATTATAAAGTGCATTAATAGATTATCATCAATTGCATTAAATGATAAAATTAATAGTTCTAATGAATATTTGGATATATTAATTAAAACAGAGAATGAAGAAAAGAAAAGTGGATATAAAGAACGAGTTGAAAGATATAAACAACTTAAACAATCAAACGAAAT